GCGTGTCTGCCTGCCTCGGCGTGTCTGCCTGCCTCGGCGTGTCTGCCTGCCTCGGCGTGTCTGCCTGCCTAGGCGTGTCTGCCTGCCTGCCTGCTGCCTCGATGTGTCTGTCTTCCGAGGAGTGTTTCCGAATGTCTCCGTCTGCGTATCTCTGAGGCCATGCGAGACGAGTCTCCCATATCGTTCTATCGTTCTATGCCAAGCTTCCGCATGCAAATAATTATCTCGTTAAAATTCATATTGATTTAGATGAAGATTGACACTATAAAAGGGATCTAAATACACCCCGAGGACAAAACATGATTTTGTGTATTGTCTTATGAAATTGTACATGCATTACGTATTGAACATGCAAATAATAGAAATACGGTAATGTGTGCTTAATATCATGGATTATTAGATGTATATGCAGCATACTTTAGCAATTCAAAGCTTATACAGTCATCAATCTCTTACTATTGCCATCATCACCACCATCGCCAAAAAATTCCATCTTTGTCATACTATGAATATTCAACATTTTAAAAATACTCGTACATGACGTGTATGTATTATATCAAGAATGGATTTGGATCATTAATTTAAAAACAAATCAAATGAATCGTCCACAACTTATATGAAATTGGTTATCTTTCTTATCACAAAGAGTTTGGAGGATTTGCAGCTATTTAGCAACAACTCTGGAGAAAGTTAATTTTTATTGTCATGTATTATATAATTGTTTATCCTTGTCTAAATTCAGTTAATGTGTATCCAAAAGATATTCAAGAAAAAAGTGCACTTCGGCAGCAAAAAATGCATACGATATTAGATTTTATTTCTGGCAAAATATATTTATTTTTAAGATCTATTGCGCTGATATTGATGAATGTACTCGAAAGAAGAATTTTGTAATGATACAGATTTTTCAGGTGTACCACCAATCAGTTGATGCAGCATTTAGATCTGAGAGGGTTAGACGGTCGAATTTATTTTTTTAAAGATCAAATGTATTATGAATATAATGAATTTCTGAATAGTTTGGTATGAGCTGGAACAATTTGTTCAACGTAAATGAATATAAATTTTAATAAAAATGTTCGTACTATATCACAAGTCACTATAAAATACATTTTGAAAATATTGAAACGTGTAAAATATTTTTATAAAGCAATTTAATAATTTTTACTCAAAATACGCAGTCAAACATTTCAATGTGGAGAGAGTCACAAAAACATACTTATCACGGCACCAACAAACAGAAATCAAAGCTGGTTAAATAAACAAAGAATGTAATATATCAAGAATAAGAATTAGATGCATTTTATAACAACTAATATGCGACTGGTGGTTATACATTTAAGTGTAAATATTGTATGAAAAACACATTTGATAACGAAAGTACACAGTTTCTTGTAGATGCATCGTTAATAGAAGTTATTTTCGGAATCATATGAAAATAAATATACATGTATGAAATGCAAATTAATATTAAAATATTGTAATAATTATTTTAATATTTTATTATATTGTATATCCATAAGACAATGAATTGATATGATCTATTATATATCAATCACATGGCAATCTATCATTGCTTCTAGTTTTTGTATATAATATATATTATTTTGATGTAGTATTAGAGATATCTTAATACGTCACTACATCATTGAATTAACTGTGTTTATACATATCGAATTTAATTTTTGTTTTTTTATTCCCTTACAAAATTGTTTTCTATAAAATCAGTTCTAATTGAATACATTTTATCTTAATCCTGCGAATTCTCCTTTAGGTGTACATAAATGTTCATTTTGCTTTTATCTTATTATTTGCGTGTGGTATTATATCCATGCGACATCCCCTAGAATCAACATTTTCA